TGACTCAACTACCCCTTCAGGCAATGAATTCCACTACTCTCTCAGCAAGAAAAAAATTCTCAATTCTCCTCTTCACCTTTGACCTTTTGCATTAAATCTCGGCCTCTTGATATTGATTCCTCTACCGATGGAAGAGTGTCTTTCTGTCCACATAATCTATGCCTCTCATAAACTTATGCACCTCTATCAGGTCCTATCTCAATCTTTCTAGCTACCTAGCTTTTCTTAAAGCTCAAATGCTCAAGATCAGGCAACATGCTGGTAAATCTCCCTTGTGTCCTCTCTGGTGCAACTGATTCCTGCTTGGACTTGAGTTTATTTTTTAAAAAAGACTTCCTAGAAATCATACTGAGAACTGTTCGCTTTGCTGTAGATCCTGCTGGGGTTGTTTTGAATTGATCGGAAAAAAATAATCAATGTTTTATCTACTTAAGTTGTGAGAATGCTTAGAAAGAACCAGCTGAGTGAGAGAAAAGTTTGTTATGAACAAGCGGCCTTGCTGATCTCCTACATTTCTTACAAGTAAACCATCTGCAACAGTTCAGAACGAATCTCATTAATTCTTCTCAAAAGAGTGATTGAAGAAACATCTCAAGATTCTTGATCCTGTGTCCTCAAGACTTGGAACGTTAGAACATCACATCAAATGCCTCCAGAATATTCAATGCTTTATCATTTTTCCTTCAAGCCAAAGTTTTTTTTCCCCTGCAGAAAAGTCACCCTGACAGAGAAATTTGCTTTCTCTTTTTTCAGGAAGAGTGTGTGCGCGCATGTATATGGTGTTTTCTGTGGATATTTATCACGCATATCTATTTTATGAATATTTAGAGGGACAAGCATTTATACTTCTAAATTACTGAATGGATACTTTCACTAATTATTGCATCATTATTGCACAAACTTTATCTAAATAATAAATTCATAATTGTATATGTTAAGAAACCTGATAAATAGATCTTGCTATTTAAAAGTTTATGTGGATAAGGTACGTAATTGGTAATCTTAGTAACTGAGACTACTATTTTTATTTTCTGTTGTGACCAATGGTGCAGTGAAACTAGAATGGTAGCACTCCCCTCTGAGCTCAGTCATAATAGTGATCACTGTTTAATTACTGTTTGTTAGAACTTATTGCAAATACATTGGCTACTGCCCTCGCAACATTATAACAGTGACTCCCTTTAAAATGTACTTACATCATTGTGAAATACTTTGGTACATCCCAGGGTTGGGATGGGCATCCAATAAATGCAAGTATTTTCAGCAGGACCAGGGACAATATCACCATTAGGAAAATGTTTAAAAACACATACGACAGCTGCATTAAAACAAGTTAGAAACTTTGCTGATGTATCTAGGAATAAATTATTTTCACTTGTTATAATAACAAGTAAATTCATAAAATTATTTGAATGATTAGAAATGTGAAATTATTAGGGCATGTCATTCCTTATCAAAATTAATGGATGATCAGAATTAATAACTTTTTAAATTATGTGACAAAGCATGAGAAAAAGAAACAATTTAAACATTGGAAATGAGGGAAAAGCACATGGACTATTGAAGATGCCCTTCCATCATTTCACCATTGGCAGTTGTGACTTCAATTGCCTTGGCTCTGGAATTTCCTTCCAAAACCCCTCTATTTTCTCTTGCTTTAAGGTGGTCTTTAAAACTTGCCCCTCTGACTAAGACTTTTAGCACTTGTCCTAAATTGTCCCTCTTTGCCACAGAGACTATTTTACAATCTGAAGACTGCTCTACAAAATAGCCTGAAATGGTTTGTTATGTTAAAAGTGCTTTATAAATAGAAGTTGCTTCTGTTGACATTATTTTGCAGGAAGCAGAGTTATTCTGCTAGTGGTTTAGTCATCAAACTCACTCAGGACAGCCGATGAGGGAAAATATTCTCACCTGCCCTCAAATCAACACTTAATTGGTTCAAAAGAGCCAAGATAGCCATACGTCGCTGCATACAAGAGTGGGGGCGTGATTGAAAAAGATGCATTAGCAAATTTGTTGCCACTTGAAATGCTTTTAGCAGATTATGTTGGACTCGAGCAGAGTGATACAGAATGCTGCTTGAGAATAAGCTGATTTAATTAGACAATTGAGGATGCAGTAGATAAGGCATATCATACTGGGGTAGGAATCATGCATTTCCTCATTGCTGATCACATTGTACATATGCTCCTATAATCAGAACCAAGTTTAATGTGAGTGGTTATGCAATATCTGAATTAGTGCGTCATAGAAATCAACAAATTCTCTTATAAGATATGTCCAGTAAAGCAGTTTAAGTTGGTAGAGTTGCAATTGACCGTTATGGTATATTAATCAGACTTCCAAGCAGTTGACCAGTAGGTGTTTGATTCTTGGCTATCACAATCACTATGTGAGAAGGCAGCCAACACATGAAGGCAATAGACTTCCAATTTATTGTGCTTTGCACGAACAAGTTCAAACCCCACCCTTTGTCAATAATTTTTAAGATCTTGAGGGGTCGTGTCAGGGGGTGAATGTGGAAAGGATGTTTCTATTGTGAAAGAGGTTACAAATTAGGGGTTGTTAATTTAAGATATGTGGTCAAGGTGTCATGGTCCCTAAACTGGACCTGTAAACTGACACTCAGTCACAGGAATTGGGCCTGATAGAAAACAGGCCAAACTAAATTAAACAGCAGCCAGCAGCTATTGGCTGCAGAGAACAGTGGAAACCAAGCTCAAAAAATTTACAAAGGTTCAGTGGGAACAAGTTACAATCAACCTGTGGGTTATATATTGGAGAAATAGTAATCAGATTTTCTGGCACCTTGATTTCCAGCCAGTGTCTGATGTACACTTTACACTTGGCTTGTATGGCGACTGTGAAGGATGTTGGCGCGATCCTATTGGATGCTTTGAACCCCGCCGATGACCCAATTTGCCAAAGGCTACTGAACATTTTGGTTAGGGATATAAAAACACACACCTAACCCCAACCTCAGTGAAGACTCACAGCAAGACTTGTGGCAGGAAGACCATGCAACAACCCAAGAAGATTCACCCTGACCAGTGAGATCCTTCTCTGTGGAAGACAGCCAGCCTTAAGTCAGAGAGCAAGGAGAATTCAGCAGCCCAGCTCACACACATGGGGATCATTGCAGGTATGTCCTCTCTCAGACAGATACAGCTGGATAGAGAGAGTAAATATTGTGGGAATTTGGGAAATGCTCACATGATGTTTTTAATAAGGAGTGTTGTGTTAATAAAATCAAGTTGAAACACAAAAACAGTTCTGCATCCCTTCGTCCACGACACTGACGAGAACACTTGAGGAAAGTGTTTTTAATACATAAACTGGTCAGAGTGTCCAAAACACAGATAACAGATGGGGATACGGATTAAAAGAAATCTCTGAGTGGTGATGAATCTTTAGAACTCTCTTCCAAGCAGAGTTTTTGAATAAGGTAAGGCAGGGTTAGGTAGACTTTAGGTAAGCAAGGGAGTGAAAGGTTATCAAAATTAGGCAGGAACATGTGGTAATCAGATCAACAATGAACTTGTTGAATAGCAGAGCAGGTTTGAAGGGCTGAGAAACATTCCTATAAAGACAATGGGCTCCATTGCAGTGACTGGGCTGAAAACACAACACTTTTACACTGAAACAACCCATTATTTGGTGAATATTAAAGAGAAGCATAACGTGATTCTGGGTTACTGATACAATTTGAAAATGATTTAAAGTTTCAACTGGGCTAAGGTAATGTTCTTTTTAACCGTAGAATAAAGTCGGAAAACACAGCAAAATAACTCAATAGTGACAGAGATTGCAACCTTGCTCTGTCGCTAATCCATAGTCTAACCTCTCACTGCCATAGGAGTAAAATTTAACATTTGCAATGGGATTTTCGCCCATAAGCTGCAGAACGGGCAGGAGCTTTTTGTACTGCATTTCTCAGCCTTGAATGCTGTGGTCAAGTGCTTTAGTGCACCCTGAGCCCTGTAATGAAGCAACGTTGTGCCTGATTTTCCAGTCTCATGAAAATTGCCACTCTGTTCCTGCATTTTTGTCAAGAGATTTCAATCAAGTCTCTGTCAGAAATATGGAGCCATACCTCCATTCTGACAGGTCACAGAGTTGTTGGAGAGGGTGGGAGGTAAACCAAACCCCGGTCCCTCATCCCAGCCAGCTGCCATAATGTGAAATATAGAGATTCAGAATCACAGACAGCCATTTTGAAGGCAACTGTCAAACACTTAGCAATTGAGGTAGGTATGAGTTTAGGATGTCAATGATAGTGTGGCAGAGGACAATGTGACAAGGGCACCTGTTGTATGGACTGTTTATGGTCGGTCAGAATGGATGTAAGAGATCTGTTCCAGTCTTGAGCGGTGGGGATTTTTGGTGGTAACAAGTGATGTCAGGTCATGGGGAAGTGGTGGTGGCAGCTGGGTTTGGTGGTGGGAGGAGTGGGTGTCAGGTCTGTTGGCAGACAAACCAAAAAAATGGGGTCAGCAGGGTGGGTGGGATTTTCAGGTCTAACAGTGAGGTTTGGGGTTTAGTCCACTGGCAAGGGGAGGGGCAGCAATGCCTGATGGCAGGATGAGGCAGTCAGGTCTGGTGGTGAAGGGGGAGAGATTGTGTCCAGCAGTGGACACTGGGATGGAAGGGGAGGGACAGTGTGTCAGGTCCAACCCCTGGTTAGGACGAGGGGTGGGGCATGACGTTGAGTCTATGACACACCGAAGGTGATGTTTTGGGTCAGGGTCTGGTGGGGTGAGGGTGTTACTGATGGGGGAGGCTATACTTGGGTAGTCATGAACTCAGTTGCGAGTCAGCTCAGTACATACTCAAGAGTTTGATCATGTATTGAAGAATTTAACCTATCCTGTGTAACTGTTTGCTTAATTTCATTGGAACCCTCAAAATTCTGCAACTTAACATGATACTTTCAGAATGTTCCAGCTGTAGGTCAATTGACCAGCAGAATCTTCAATTTCCAGGAATTCCTTCGGAGTCTGCTATGGAGGCACGTATACTAAAATTGGAACCATACAGAAAAGATTAGCATGGCTCCTGTGCAAGGATGACATATGAATAAAGGCGGCATGGTAGCTCAGTGGTTAGCACCGCTGCCTCACAGCGCCAGGGACCCAGGTTTGATCCTACCCTCGGGCGACTGTCTGTATGAAGCTTGCACATTCTCCTTGCACCTGTGAGTTACCTCTGGGTGCTCCGGTTTCCCCCACAGTCCAAAGGTGTGCAGGTTAGGTGGATTAGCCATGCTAAATTGCCTATAGCGTCCAGGGATGTGTAGGTTAGGTGGATTAGCCATGGTAAATGTACAGTTATAGGAATAGGGTAGGTGGGTGGCTCTGGGTGGGATGGTCTTCAGAGGATTGGTGTGGACTTGATGGGTTGAATGGCCTGTTTCCACACTGTAGGGATTCTAACCGGTATTCTGCAGGATCCCCATGCGCAACTCCCCTCTATCTAAAATTATCTGACCATTGGAATATCTGGGCCAATGTGTTGTTAATTAAGACTTTACACTAAAAACCCTACAAGGATCCTCTTATGGAACAGCGGGAGCATCCCTACCTCTGGACTGAGAGATTTGGGTTCAACTCCCACCTGCTCTGGAGGTGTGTAATAACATCTCTGAACAGGTTGATTAGAAAAATAGATTAAATGAAAACAAAAACTCTCCAACTTCATAGTTTCTCAATGCTGAGGCTTCAGCTTTAGTATCTGCCATTATTACAGATACCTCACACTGACTAACAACAGAAGGCATTCAATCTATGTTTAAACTGATAGCATTTCAATTTCAGAGCTCAATGTTATGCTGTTCTCTCAGTTGTTATCCTGCACTGAACTTATCTTCAAAACTGACACATCCATTGTTACAAGTTTAAGTATATTACATTGTCAAAAGAACGGCAGTAAAATATTAGATTTTTTTGCACTTAATTCTTGTAGTGTGAAAACGTCATGATTTTTTGTGTAATAGTTTATTTGTAAGCTTATTTTTCTTGCAGCTTGTTCTTTGAATCCATTTACTTTAATGCCAAAAGTGCTCCTGGGAAAAGTTTAGTGAAAAATTGATTCAAAATTGGTATTTGACCCAAAATAAGAAGTGATGAATTGAATAATGTGATGATATAATGTTAGAATTCCAATATGTTAATTTTGAAAAAAAAATAGGATTCAAATAAAGATTGAGTGAGGGCACATGGAAGCAGCATCAGCCATACCTAAAACAGAAATGTCAATAGGACTACTTGCATGTTAAACAATCAGAACAGCATGCAGCAGACAGGGCAAAGAGATCCCACAATCAACAGGTCAGATCCAAGCTCTACAGTTCTGCCATGTCCACTCATGAATGGTATTGGGCAATTAAACTACTCATTAGACATGCAGGTTCCATAACTATTACCATCCAATATAATCGGAGAGCACAGCACATCAGTGCAACAGCCAAGACTGAAACATTTGCAACAATCTTCAACCAGACATACAGAGGGGATGATCTATCTTGGACTCCTCAGAGACACAGCACCACAGATGTCATTCTAAAACTGATTTGATTCATAGAGAATCAAAGAATCCCTACAGTGTGGAAGCAGGCCATTTGGCCCGTCGAGTTCACACCAACACTCTGAAGAGCATCTCACCCAAATCCACCCCATCCCTGAAACCCTACATTTCCCACGGCTAACCCACATAAGCCCGCACATCCCTGGACACTATTGGCAATTTAGCATGGCCAATCCACCTAACCTGCACATCTTTGGACTCTGAGAGGACACCCACGCACACAGGGGGAGAAAGTGCAAACTCCACACAGGCAATCACCCAAAGGTGGGATTGAACCCGGGTCCCTGGCGCTGTGAGGCAGCAGTGCTAACCACTGAACCACCACACTACCCATCAATTCACTCCATGTGATGTCAGGAAATGGCTGAAGACACTGGATACTGCAAAGTCGTTGGGCTCTGACAACAATCCACCAATAGTACTGAATATTTGTACTCCAGAACTATCTGAACTCTTAGTCAAGCTGTCTGCCTACACTGGGTCTCTCTCTCTAGGTGGAAAAATGGCTAGGTACCTCTCTGCACAAAAGAAAGAAAAGTCTACCTGGATTAATTACCACTACATTAGTTTACCTTAGTTAAAGTGATAAGAGGGAGCATTGACAGTGCTGTTGAGTAGCAATTGCAAAGAAATAACCTGTTCAGTAAAGTGATACTCACATTAGGTTGAACAAGACAAAACTCAGATCCTGACCTCATTGCAGCCTTCGTCTAAACATGGGCGAAAGTCATGAACCTGATTATGAGAAAGTGACTATCCTTGAAATCAAGGCAGCATTTGACAGACTGTGGCAACAAGCAGCCTTAGCATAACTGGAGTCAATGGGAATTGAAGGAAAGCTCTGTACTGGCTGCAGCCTTATCTAGCACAAAGAACAATGGTTGTGCTGTTCAAAGGCAATCATCTCACATCCAGGACATCTCTGTAGGAGTTCCTCAGGATAATATCTTAAGACCAAACATCTTCAACTGCTTCATCAATGGTCTTCTCTCCACTACAAAATCAGAAATGTGGATGTTTGATGCTGATTGCGCAATGTTCAGTGCCATTTGTGTTTCCTCACATAATGAAGCAGTCCATGTGCAAATGCACCAGGACCTGAACAATATCTAGGCTTGGGCAAATAGGTGGTGAGTAACATTCACACTACACAAATGCCAGGAAATGACCACCTCCAACAAAAGAGAATCTAGCCTGTGCCCCTTAATGTCCAATAACATTTCAATTGCTGAATCTTCCACTATCAGCATGCTGGGGTGGTGGCTCTCCATTGACTAGAAACTGAACTGGACCAAAGTTGTGTGGCTACAAGTGTAGGCTAAGGATAGGAATTCTGAGGCAAGTAACTCACCTCCTTTGTTTCCAATGCTTGTCCACCATCTATAAGACAAATCAGGAGAGTGATGGAATACTTGTCATTCACGTGGATAAGCGGAGCACCAGCAACACAAGAATCTTGACACCATCCAGAACTGCTTGTTCACCATCACATCCATCACCTTCAACATTCACTCTCTTCACCACTAATGCAGAGTGGCAGCAACGTGTAAGATAGACAAGGTGCCACCAACAGCACCTTCCAAACCCACAGTCTCTAATACCGAGAAGGACAAGGGCAGCAGATTCATGGGAATTCCACCTTCTGCAAAGTACCTTTCAGGCCACATACCATCCTGACATGGAACTATATCACCACTGCTTCACTGTAACTATGTCAAATCTTGAAATTCTCTTTATGACAGCACTAAGGGTGTCCCTACAGCCCAAGGACTGCTGCAGTTCAAGAAGGTGGTTCACCATTACCTTCTCCAGGGATGAACGATAAATGTAGGCTAAGCCTATGATACTGCATCCCATGAACATTAAATAAGTTAACATTTCCAGCTAGCTCAATATTATGACAAATAATGTAAATACCTCAAGTTTTGAAGTCAGCTGCTCTAACTATTGAGAGGGGTAATGCATAAATTTACAAGACCAATTGCTTTGGTCCTATCTGATGGTACGATTAGAATGAGATCTGGTCTGATTTTTTTTTCAAATTTTTGTTAATATGATTCACTGAAACATAGTCACATGATGCTGCAGAGTTTCTTTAAAACAGAAGCTCATAACACAAAAGACAAAGCAACAAAAAAAGACAAGCTACCTAACTCTAGAGATTTTAAAACACAGCAAAACTGTCATTTTACAGCAATTCAAATCCAGAGAAATTTCCCCTCTCTATTAAATCTTTAACTTTGAGGTACCTCATTCTACCCAGATCATTCCTGCAAACAACAAAGTTTTCTTGTGTGAACAGATACCAAACTGAGTGCTCAGGCTTTCTTAGCTTTTTATTTACCTGTAGATTTCTAGCCAATATCTCCTGCTCTGGAAGTTGCACAGACTAAAACTTTTTTTGAGATAACTGTGCTTTCCCTGAACAGTTCTGTACTCCTTTTCTAGGAGAGAATTATATTTCAAGGAGACCTGACTGGGGTCAAAAGCAAACTGCCCAACAACATTTGATCTGAGTTTTCTAAGCTAAAATCAGTCCTTGATATTCTTGAACCAAAAACAAGATAATGAACTTCAAACTTTAAACATCCTGTTGTAAATGCAAGTACAAGCAATTTTACACTAACACTCCCAAGGGTCCCTGCTGTCAAAAAGACACTGTATTAGGTTATGTTTCCTGGAAGGACTGTCAGACCTAGTATTTTTCAAAACCCTTTATAAAAGTAATATGCCTTTATTTTAAAATGCTGCCTCTAAAATTAATATGTATAGATATAACATACAACTTTCATCACACTGTACCATTTGTATCGCCACTATTTGTGGCTAAGAAGGTTATCACCTTATGAAGCACAGAGACACAGACGATACGAGCAGGAGCAGGCCATTCGACCCCTCAATCCTGCTCTGCCATTCAATGTGTTCATGACTCAATACCCTATCTCACTTTTTCCCATATCCCTAGATCCCTTTAACTACAATTGCACAGCTACCTCCTTCTTAAAAACATTGTTTTGGCCTCAACCACCTTCTGTGGTAATGAATTCCACAGGCTCACCATCCGCTGGGTTAATAAATTTCTCATCACAGTCTTAAAAGGTTTACCACTTATCCTTAAACTCGCTCTGGAATTCCCCAACACCAAGAACATCCTTCCTGCATCTAACCTGTCATTAGTCCTGACAGAATTTTATAGGTTTCTATGAGATCGCCCCTCATCTTCCAAATTCCAGGTGAATACAATTCTAACCGATTCAATCTCTCTTCTCATATGTCAGTCCTTCCATCCCAAGAATCACTGGTAAACCTTTGCTGGACTGTCTCTAGACAAAGAACATCCTTCCTTAGATAAAACTGCACACAATATTTCAGGTGTGTCCTTACCAATGCCCTGCATAATTGCAGCAAGACACAGTACTTGAATCCTCTCACTATGAAGTCCAACATACAGTTTGCCTTCTTTATTACCTGCTCCACCTGAACACTTACTTTCAGCAACTGGTCCACGAGTACACCCA